CGCCCGGGGGGACGCCCACGCCGAAAGCGGGCAAGCGGCCGCCGCTGGTGGTGAATGCCAAAAAGGTGAGCTTCAGCAGTGCGAGCATGCAGGTCTATGACAACGCCGGGCTCGAGCACACCGAATTCTGAATACCCCAAGTATTACCGAAACTGAATCTGTAAACTATATAAACCCTTTACCAGTATATATGTATATGCATATTTATCTATATGTAGCCTAAAACGAAAAGTCCTTGCGGCGACAAAAGAAAAAATATAATTAATTGCATTTAATCCGAGTGGCAGTCAGCGAAGCTTACTTCCATGCTGCAAGCAGCGGAACGTCTTGCGATTCATTAGCATAATTACAAGACTATGTGGGGCGGGCGATACTGGGTGGGCGGTGGGTGGCGTCATTCATCAATGTCGCGGCGATGCTTAGAGTTAAGTGCTCCATGGCTGCGCTTTTTGCTCAGCTCGCCCCTCTGGCTGTAAAATGCAAATCAAAGTGTGATTAGCTCGGATTTGATGAAGTTTCTGCTGCAATGCGCAACTTTTTGCTACCTTCTGCATATGCGAGGGAGTTTGTGGGTGTGTGTTGGTGTGTGTGCGGGTGTTGCAGTTAGGTAAGTGTTTTATAAGTGAATATTCCACCTTTTTCTATGCGCGCAAAAGGGAAAGAAAGTTAGGTTCGACTTTAGCAAAGAGGCGATTGGATTGCGTCAGAGGCAGAGGCAGAGCAGTTGTGCAGGTTATTTAAAAGTCGATGAGAGGTGGAAAAGGAAATGCTGCTGATAAAATTGCATAACTTGACCGAATAAGGGAGTGGAAGGGATTAGGCTGAAGAGACGCTGATAAAAGGAGAGTTGAAAACTAATCGAGCTAGGGATGCTCTTCAAGTGGAATATGGTGGTCTATAGAGCAATGAATATAAAAAAAAAAACAAAATAAATAAAGAATGAAAAAAATAAAGAGTTAAATATTAAATAAAACAATAAATATAGTTACATGTACATGTATGTAAACGAATAAATACAAAATTAATAATAATAAAATAAATGAAAAATAAAATAAATGAATAAAAATTAAATGAGTTAATAAAAAAAAATAAAACAATAATTATAGTTACATATATGTAAAAGAATAAATAAAAAATTAATGAGTTAATAAAATAAATGAAAAATAAAATAAAAATGTTATTAAAAAATAAATACAAATATTAAAAATAAATAAATTAATCAAAAAATAAAATATAAATTTGGCTTTAAAATAATTTTTAAAATATACATATAAATAACAAAAAATACATTAAAATTTTAAAAACTAATAAATTAAAAAATAAAACAAAACCATTATACTCTGATTTGCCATTTTTGATGAATACAGAAAATAATTAAATGCAAAAAGTATATATGTATATCACCCTAAAACAATCATATCAAACCAAAAACTCTAGAGACTCAGCTCCAAGAGACATTTTTAATGGACTTGAGAGAGTCCTAAGCACTTTCTGATAAAGTAATTAAAACTCTAACTGAGAAACAATAACAAGAGAGATTCGAATGTAATTAAAAACAACTTCCAACAGTTGAAATTTGTGCAATAAACTAAATGAAGAAATAAATTTGCTGCTTACCAAAAGTTTTTAGCCCGAGCAAAAAATATGACTCTAGCGAATCGAATTTCGAGCAGTTACGAATCTGGCAATATATGCCGAAAACATGGAATATGGATGAGCCTTGGGCTGAACCAATTACCTGGCCTGCCCAGCAAGTCCACACAAAGTCGGGTCAGTTGCAGTTAGGCTAGCATTTCGCATTCATAAAATGCAAACAATTTCAAACTTCGATGAGTTTTTGCCCTTGTCGAACGAACACGAAATGAGCGCAATTGTTGTAAAGAATCGTCAAATGTGAATTATTGGCCGGATGCCAAAAAACGTTTCGACTCTTGGCCATTGTTTACTGGCAAAGAAAAGCCCAAAGAGTCGGCTTTGACTGTGGCTAGGTCCACGCGGCGTATGCTTAATATTGGTTTCTATAGCCACTGGGCATATAAATCCATGTTTTTCACCAAATTTATGTAGCCCACATTCTGGTGCAGCAAAAAAAAAAAAAAAACGTGAACATAAAACAAAGTAGCACGGAAATGGCATCGGGCCGTAAAATATAAAATTCGATACAAAAAACTTTGCTTTCTATTATTTTGCTGGTGGTGCTGCTACAGTAGAGCCAACAACTATGCAACCGGCAGGCGGCTACATAATTTTGCACTTATCTGACCTCAGGCAGTCACCCCGGCTCGGCTCTGGTTGAGTTGTTGGATTTGTTATTGTATTTTATGGGTTTCCTATGCATTTGCCATTGCCAACAAGGAAATGACAACGACAGCGACAGCAGCAGCATCAACAGCAACAAGAATAAAACAATCCTTACACTATAAATTCTATATTTTAAATGTCATTTAATTATGAAAATAATAACTCGGAGTTGGCAATTGTTGCTGGCCAGCAGCGTCTGCTCCAACTTTTGTTGTTTGCAAAAATAATTAAATGAAAGCTGCAGGATATTTGTGCACAATGTGCCCTGATTATCAACGGTGTCCTGTTGGCCGAGCAATTGCTAGTCTTTTTGTTGCCCCCTTATCCTGCTGTGCTGCATTGCCTATCTGACCAGCCCGCCCTCCTCCCTTTCACTGTTCACTGTGAATAAACAACTCTCGCATTTTTTGTGACTTAATTAAGCTTTCGTTTTTCACTTACAAAAAACAAACAAACAAAAAATTAGGCGCTTCTCTTTTTGATGTCGCTTAAATTTCACAATTTATTATTTATAATATAGTAAAATTTTAAATATTTTTTTAATGTGAAAATCGTAAGATAGTTTTTATTTGTAAATCAATTTGTTTTTATGTGAATATAAGTCTTATACATAGAGCAGCAGTGAGTCATTAAATCTGTTCTTTGGATAAAATTCTTTTCTGTTTGCGTATTCACTATCTTTGTGTATTATATTACTACTGAATAAAATAAATAAAATACTTTGGTATAAATAAAATACTTTGGCCTAGACATATAGTTTTCTGCATTCGTTTCTTGCTAATCACGTATCAAGTTTACACACTGAAAAGAGAGAGAGAGCGAGAAAGAGAGAGATAGAGATACAGCAATTGCTAGTCTGTCCTTATGTCAGTCCTAAGCATTGAGACTTTCAATTTGGCAAATGCATTCTCGTTCGCCTTGACGGATAGAATTTCTTTCATTTCTATGCTTCGCTCAGAGACTAACTGGGAAATTGAGAATTGCTTTAGTGCTCACGCATAACTGCCATAATTTATGGTAATATTTGATGCTAGACTCTTGAAATCAGAGATATGTAAAGTAAGGAGCTACTGCTTTAATAAAAAGCCTTTTAGGCTAATTTGATCGATCAACCGCACCTTTTTATGTTAAAAAACTCAAACTCTGAGCAAACCTGAGCCCGAAATTCGTTAACTTTGAACAGCTTTCAATGGACTGCTACAGTTGTTATTAAAATCTGCAATTAAGAGCTGGATATCCTGAATTATTGAATTTAATTTTTGAATAAGTAAAATAAATGTAGATGTGAGTTGCTTTCCAAATTTGATAATATATTTGAATAATAATTATTTATAAATAAATAAATTGATATATAAATAATATTGACCGGGTATTGAACTACGTTTAAAGAGTTTCTGTTTTCTATGATGAGCTCTCCTTAAGAGTTCAACTCTTAATTATCTTAAGGTAACATTCCAAAAAATTAATAAAAAATAAATTATAAATAATACGTATTTAGTTTCATGGTCATGCCTTTGATTTATGTTGTCCATCATCATCATACAAGTTTTAGATTAACTAATTTCATTCGCATTATTAATAATATTTATTATTACATACATGCATACATATTTTGTATATCAGCTAATAGGGTCACATTGGGTGGAGTGCGCACATTAATTTGTTAATATTCATTTAATCAAAATTTATGAAGAGACTTAATATTAAATATTGATTATAGAGATAGGCATGCCTGGAATATACCAACAAATTTGCTGTAAACCCATAGACATCATTTAGGAACATATTATAATTTTAAGCCTTTCTAAATCTCTAATAAAATCAAATACTTTCAGCCAGTTATCTACATATATAGCCGAGCCGAGTTAATCTCCCTAAATCAACATTAAGTATTTTATAATATGTTTATCTACCCACACAGCATTCCAGCAGCCGAGTTGGCAACTATTTGGCAGAGGGCCTGCTGCTGCTCGTATTTCTCGCCTAATTGAAACATAATTTGCTGGCTTCAATTATTCAACATTATGCAGCACACACGCATGCAATAATGCAGCAGCAACAACAACTGCTCCAGGCACGCACTGAATACTCTGATAAGTGGCCAGTTCTCCTCCCATGTAGCATATGATAAGCTGACGACGAGTTGCTCCGTGTGCTCAAAGTGTAAATGTTTGCCATAATCTAAAACTGAGCAGAGTTCGAGTGCGTGTGTGTGTGTGTGTGTATTGATGTGTTGTTGTGCCTGTGATTGATAACATTTCTAATTGAATCACAACAAGAGCTACAAGAGGCTTAACGCACAAAGAGAGAGCAAGAGCGAGAGCGAGAGAGAGATAGAGATGGGAGGGCACGGTAGACAGCGGGCAAGGGGCTGGCCCCAACCAATTTTAATCGCAATCGCAATGAACACTTACAATTACATATGTTTGCGCTTCATTATCAGCAAAGCCGTCAGAGCCCCGTAGCCGGAGCAGTCCGTCACTAGGCCGGGGCGTGCTCGGTGCCAAAACAATTCAGAATCAGTAGAAATCGTTGGGTTTTGCGGTACGGTTGTCTACGCCTCGCTCCACGTTAGCAGCGCGCTCTTCCTTCACTTCGTTTCCATTCTGTGATAGTTCGATCCTGTCCAGGATAACATATAACCAAATAGATAACGCGTGCTCGTCGGAGTTTAACAACTTTTTCATATTAATTATTCTTTAGTAAGACATATATATAAACTGACAAAATGCTGCGTAATAGCTGCAAGGCACTGCGCAACAGCTTTTCAAGCAACACCTGGAGAGCGGCCAGCAACCACGGACCCAGGCAGCCAGTGAGTGGAAAGAAAAGCAAATACACTTACAATAATAAATAATGGTTAACTGTGAAGTGTTTGGTCCACATATAAACTTAAGATAAATATACACTAAGCTGTACTGCAGTTATCGCCAGATCATATATAATATATATATGTATTTATGAACTGTGCTGTTCACATGCATTCGGGCTGTTTATGTTTTGATTTTCCCATAATCTGATTGCCTCATGGCCTGATTTTCATTCGAGTTTCTGTTCTAATGACCGGATGAGCTACTTATGAACTCAGTGAGCCCATTAGACTGTGAACTGAGCATGGCAGGGCTGTATATGCTTGACTAGAAAGCTCTTTTGTCTTATGCCAACATATTTGGTCTAACAAATTTGTTTACTGGACTTGAGCAGTTAAGAGCTTATAGAGGGTGGCCTGATAAGAGGAGATTAAGTACAATTTTTAGTAAACAAATATGAAAATAAATATGTAAAAATATATATACACAGACATACATACTTGGATTTTATAGATTTATAAATTTATTTCAAGGAATTTATCAGTATATTCAGTATATGATAAAATGAAAAGATTAAGAAAATATAGATATAACCGATATATAGGTATACATATAGCTGTCGAAAATCATATCACACTTATTTTAGTCAGCTAGTAATCGACTCATCATCAGCCATCAATAGCCTTTGCTCAGCCTCTGGGCAGTTGTCTTGCGTTCGCTCTTATCAAGTGCAGCTCCACAATGAATTGGACTTTGATTCCCACTGGCAAACCTAATGCAAAGGCCCATCAAAACTGTACAGAAATAGATCAGAATAACGACGCAACGTAGGTCAGTTGCCTACTGCCCCAGACATGAGCAATATCTACAAGAAAGAAAGAATGAAACAAAAAATAAACACTTTAAACAGTTAGCGGCTGTCATATTTTAATTGTGATTAAAATGAATTGCTGATAAGCTCCATAAAAAGTAAAAAGTGATTTAAATGCGAGGGAAAATTACTGGGATCATTGGAGCTAATGACAGAGCCTGCGTGAATGATCAATGGAGCATTGAGTGGCCTCTCTGCCTCTTTGGAGCACTGAGTTGTGCAAGCGAGTTGATTGAGGAATCCGCCGCACACGCTTTCAGATTAGGCGTAAAATTTTCCTTGGCACTAAAATTTAATCAGCACTCAATCAGCGCCATAAAAGCTTCGGTAACAACAACAATCGGAGTGAAAATGTAGTTGAGAGGATTTCAGTTTGATGTTTTTTTTTCTCTGTACTTTACGACTAATCGAAGTGGCAACAGCTTGGCATTGGCAATAAGCATGATTGGGGCTGCCTTGGGTTGGGCTAATTGAAAGGACAGCTAAAATCGATTTATGTTTTTGGGTTAGTGGCGAATGCTGTAAATCATTTGCAGTTTTGGGTACGGATTGAAGGACATGCAAAACATACAAATGCCAAAAATGGTTGAGGGAGTCCAAGCACAACAACAACAACAACAACAACTGGAACAGGAACAGGAACATATTGTGTGCATGACAAACTGATAAAATGTCACAAGCAGCATTGACACAGCACGACAGCTGCTGGTACAGTGCGGCGTATACGTGTTAAAATAAATTGTAAAGTGTAAATATTGTATTTCAAGACTGACGCACGTACTCTCCCGAAAAAGGAATGAGAGAGAGAGAGAGAGAGAGAGAGATAGAGTGAGAGTGGGAGAACTGGCAGGCAGTTTTTGTTTGGCCTGTGGAAATTCAATGCCATTTGCCGTTCGTCTTTTACAATAAACTTAAAACCCTTTTAAATATGCATCGACCAGCCCTGGCCCACGGGCAAGGGTCGACAGCTGCATTTGCATATGTCTAAAGTCCGCAGTCGGCTGTCCGCTGTCCGCTGTCCACAGAGTCCACCGTTGCCTTTGACACTCAAAACGATTTGGCTAGGTCAGGGTCGTCGCTTCGTCACCTCCCTTGATGCCTAGCCTCGACTAGAGCACGCCGGCGTCATCGTCGCCCCACTTTGACACGTGTTGGCAGTTATGGGGCAGCTAGTTGGCTGTGTGTCTGCATGTGTGTGTATGTGTGTGCATGTGTGTGTGTGCGTGTGTGTGCGTGTGCGGTACATCATAAAAAGGCGACACAGTGGGGTGAATGAAAACATGGCGTAGCGTAACAAGCGTAAAACATCGCAAAAAAAAAAACGAGAAAATAAAATGGAATGAGAACAAAAATAAATATAACAAGCGTCCAAGCAGCGTAGAATATTGTGTAGAGCACGAGAATCAAACAGCTGTTGTTATTTCTTTTTTTCTGTTTGCTGTACTGAAGCCGCTGGGAAACGTTCTCTAATAGAACTTCAACATTCCATAATAGCTGCCGCATGAGCTGGCTAAACGATGACCCCTCAGGCAAATATGGGACATCTGAATGGATTTTTTATAGTTTCTTTCCATGACATTGCATGGAGCTGTGCTAAAAATATCAAATGCATTAAATTTGGCTTCCATTTCGTATTTCAGAAACATGTTGTGGATATAGTCTTTATAGTTGCAGATAAATAAAAAAATTTTAGAGCAAGGCTTTTGAGTTTTCAAAGAGTTTTCAGCAACCGTTTTGTTTATATATTATGATACTTAATAAACATATTTTATATATAAATATATAATATATACAAATATTTAATAAATTTTACTTTGTATAGAAGTTAATATAAACAAGCATATCTTTATTAATTTTAACACAAAATTTAATATTTAAATATTTTTAATATTTATATATTTCACTCATTTAATAATAATTTATTTTGGCTACAAAATTAATAACAGAAAAATTCTAAGTAGATATTAAATAGACATATTTTATTATTTATCATAGACTTATTTGATGTCGGTTCAATAAATTCTAAAAATAATAATCGTCTAAGAAATATATAAAAATTTTTTTAACAGCTTGATTATTTGGCTGAGCACCAAATTAATTGAGAGTCCTTTCTTCCCTCTCCAGCCTTAATCTCCCATTTTTGGCACTCTGAGATAAATCCTTTTTTAATGAATTGATATAAGCTTAGTAACTCTTTTATATTTTAAAGCCTGCTTCTATTCCACAGTAGATTTGTTCATTTTATTGCTCGTTAAACTATGCGACACACACTTTTCGCCATTCGCATGCATTGGTCATAATCGTGCTGCTCTGCCTCCCATTTTTATAGCCCATTTTATGGGCTTCGTCTACGCAGGGTCATAAATTATGCGAGCAAAGCCAACTTTTTGGGCAGTCAACAATTTAATTGCTTGATAATTGGATTTGTGAGAGCGGCAAGCGGCAAGACTCTCTCTTCGTCTGGCCCGTTCGGAGCAACTGTTATCGAATGCGAAAGCAAAACATGCGTTGCTCAACACTTTGATAACAAACAATTAACAAATTGCTGACCAAACAATGGCTCAAGGTTAGCTCTGTTTCGATATGGCAGCATTTGTTTTGCTTTTGGCTCTTATCAAATTGAAAGAGCCGAAAGTCTAGAGTGTGAAAACAATTGAGTTTCTTTGAATATGAGACAAATCGATTCTAGCCAGTCAATAGATTGCCTGAGCTTTTTTTATTGCTGCCATTTATCGCTTCAGAGACTAAATATAATGATAAGAAAATAAAATGAGCAAATGATTATAAGCAGACCAAATGGCAACAGCCAAGTAAATGCAAAAGAAGAAGAAAAAAATGACACCTTTTGATCGCCTCAACATTTTTATGAACTGTATTTACCGCGTAGCCTGCTGTGAGCTTTATAATGTTGACAGTTCGATGTAAGAAAATAAAAATATTTACGCCCCAATTTAATTTACAGTTCAATTGTACAATAATTGGCATTGAATACGCCTTCGCCTTTGGCTCTGGCTTTTGCCTTTGAAAGTGCCGTTGCCATTGCCATTGCCTTCGCCTTTGATTTCGTTATAAAATATGTGAACATAAATAATTTGCGGCGCGTTTCGCTTTTTTATTGCGCCTGAGCCAATAGCCAAAGCCAATCAATACGGACACCCCAACAAAATATTGTTGAATCATTGAAGTGTTCCCAGGCCAATGGGGCGGATGATTGATGTGTTGAAAACCTGCAAATCTAAAGCATAATGGCCGTCCCGTCCTAAGCTTAAGTAAATAGCAAGCACTTAGGACTAGATGAGTCAAGATGTTGTTTACGTCTTTCAATTGCTTCAAGATGTGGAGAAAAGTAACAAATGAATTGGATGAAAAATTCTGAAAGTATTTGAAAATTGGGAATCTGATTATAGAATGGATTTCTATGGAAATATGAATGCAATTAAGTAATGACGATGCTTTTTATTTAAAGTACTTATATAGTAATTATTGTTTATTGGTATTGTTTTCCAAAGACGTAGAGTGGGAGAATAGGACAACTAAAATAATAATTATTATTAAAATGTTTATGCGTGTGGGATACAAATATGAATATATGTATATTGCTGAAGTCAATTTAGATACGTTCTTTTATCTCTGCAGTGTATGGGGTATCTATTATATGATTAAATTTATTATTATTCAGGCAGCCTGAAGACATCAGCTCAAGAGCTAAGCGAGTCCAGCCTTTGTGTCGCTTAATCAGCTGCTAGTTTAATAAATTGATTTTATTTTATTTATTAAAATTTATAAGAATTACCAAAAAAAAGTATATTTTATTTATATAAAATTTATAAAATAATAATAATTAAACTAAAATTATTAACTAAATAAATTATATTGTTTTTAAAATCTAAATTATATATTTTTAAAATTTTAAATATTAATATTTTTATAAATTATAAGTTATAAATTTATATATAATATATATATATTTATATATAATATATATTCTATATTTTTAAAATTTTAAATATTAATATTTTTATAAATTATAAGTTATATCTTTATACATAATATATATTTTGTTCTACTAATATATTCAAAAGATTTCTATTTTAATCATTATTAAATATATAAGATATTTTATTTAATTAAACTAATAATAATAGACATACTTTTTCCAAAGTAGTCCATACTATGTATTATAAAATATGATGCATATTAAATCATAATATAATAATTCGTGTTATATAATACATATGCATAGCAGTTATGCTTTTATATTAAATTCTCTAGACATGCATATACACTTATTAGTCACTTTTATTTTATATATTATATATATTAATCTCATACCTGCATCCATTTCCCAGCGCCATGCTTCGAGCTAGTTTACTTTATCATTTGTTTACAATTTTCACTTCAATATATATTTTTTTATCAATTTAGCCAAGGCTTAAATATATTCGATTGCCACACCGTTTCCGGCTATACGTTTATTCCAATCCATATACATATATATGTGTATATATATTTCTGTCAGTGTTTTGTTTTTGATCCGAAGTGTCTATGTGATTGTTGACGGAAGCATTTGCTCGGCTGAAATTTCCGTTTGCCAGACAGCAGCAGTCGGTCTCCGGCTCTAGCTTTTATTACCCGGAAGGCAGCACATCAAATTGTCTATATGTTGCAATCCATCACATTTTATTGGAATAGAAATTGACGTGTTCAAGCATTTCATTGCATCACATGTAAATGAAATTCGATTGGGCATAATTTAGTTAATGCAATTTTCAGTTGAGAGACTCGAATTGATTATCGCATTCGGCGTCCAATTATTAGCTGTTTTAGTTGTTGCCAACTGTTTATTATGCACACAGTCATATTTACAGCTCTGGCTTAACGGCAATTTAGTAATTATGATTAGGGCCACACGCACGCACAGCACTCTGATTAAGTTCGATGATTAGTGATTAGAGTGTGGCATAATTAATTGGATTGCCATTTGGACTACGCTCAGTTGATTTTATTTTCAAGCTCTTTGCTCTCCCAATTTACGACCTCATTATGTGTTTGCCGATTGTAACTGATAAGGCACTCACCCACACACACACAGAGAGAGAGACTCACAGACTGTGTTTCATTGCTCTTTCTCTCACACTCACTTTCACTGTGTCTGTTTATGACTTGTGCTAATATTTGTTTAATGTCTTGATTTGCTGCAGCTGCCGTCCATAGAGAAGCGCCTGGAGAAGGCCCATCCACAGTTCACGGAACGGAGCCAGCTCAAATATGCCCGTCGCCTGGTCGTTAAACTGGGCAGTGCCGTCATCACGCGCGAGGATAATCATGGCCTGGCTCTGGGTCGTCTGGCCTCCATTGTGGAGCAGGTGATTAAATTGAAATTGCAAATTAATTTTAAATATCATATTTAATTCACTTACTCTCTGCCCGTATGTAGGTCGCCGAGTGCCATCTGGAGGGTCGAGAGGTCATCATGGTGACTAGCGGAGCTGTGGCCTTTGGCAAGCAGAAACTGGCCCAGGAGCTGCTCATGTCGCTCTCGATGCGTGAGACGCTGAATCCAAAGGACAGCAAAGAGGTGATACACACATACATACACACTAGATATCTGCAATTTAGAGTTTAGCACTAAGGTTGTGGCTATTCAATAGTTCGATGGCGCCACACTGGAGCCACGTGCAGCTGCTGCGGTGGGTCAGTCGGGTCTCATGTCACTCTACGATGCGATGTTTGCCCAGTACGGCGTCAAGATTGCACAGGTCGGTTCAGCGCATTCTAGACTGTTCACCACTACTGCTACTAACTATGTGTGTGTGTGTGTTTGCTATATTGATTTAGGTGCTGGTTACCAAGCCGGACTTCTACAACGAGGAAACACGCAACAATCTCTTCTCCACGCTCTCCGAATTAATTAGCCTAAATATCGTGCCAATCATCAACACGAACGATGCCGTCTCTCCGCCGATGTTCATACGTGACGACGAGCCGGCTGGCGGTGCCAGAAAGGTGGGTACTCGAACGCACCACAAAGTCAAGCTCTCTCTCCTTCACTCTCTCTCTCTCTCATTCTCTCTCTATCTCTGTTGTCTTCTGCAGGGCATTCCCATTAAGGACAACGACAGCTTGTCGGCCATGCTAGCCGCTGAGGTGCAGGCTGATCTGCTAATCCTCATGTCCGACGTCGATGGCATTTACAACAAGCCGCCCTGGGAGGATGGCGCCAAGCTGATGCACACCTACACCAGCGACGACATCAACAGCATTGAGTTTGGCAAGAAGTCCAAGGTAAGTGCAGAGGCTGCAGGTTGTCTATTTTAAGGCAGCTAACTTTGTCTGATACTTCAGACTTATTTGATTAGCTGAGACTTATATAAATATTGATTTAACTTTAATGTCTGCCATTTAAAATGTTGGGGAAATTCTATACAAATTGATGAACTTTGCCTTATATAAAATATTTAATGATATTTTATATTTGATATTTAATTTTTAAAAGATTTTCTTTAAAAATTTGACCAGCTTGGCCTTTAAATAATTTATTGATTTTCCCTGTTAGACATTTAATTTGTAACAGACATTATTACAGAATTTCCCATTTATTAAATGCATTTGATGTTTAATCAACAATAATTATCTCCGTTTTGTCATATATTCACAATTCCCAATATCTTGACAGCAAATTTAAATTAAAATTCTGTAAAATTCAGGCTAAGGCTCTTGAATGAAAGCCATTCAATTAACACAGACTTTCTGACTAATTCCATAAATATTTTCTATTACCTGGAATAAAATATTTATCATACTTCAAGCTTACTAAATTACTAGTAAATTAAATTGAAAAGAAATTCAATTTGCAGAAGGCGTTCGAATTCTCAGCAATTTAAATAGCGCCAAATTAATGCGAACTGCAATGAAAGGACATTCATGAGAAATTCTTAAAAATTCATAAAAAAATTCAAAATGAAGCTGAAGAGTATTTAATTTCATATTGTTAAAAAATTGGAATTTTTTTAGTTTGAATTGAGAATTCTGAATAAAATTCATTCATAGAGTATATAAAATCTAAATGAAGCTCAGGGCGCATTGTGGACCAATTTTTAAATAAGCCATCTAAAGACGTCTCTATCTTTGCATATTTTAAATATTTTTTATGCTGGTTAAGTATTGTAAATTTACAAAATATTTACTGAGAAAAATAAAAGTATTTTTCCCAGTTATTCAGGCTAAGAGTTGTTAACACACGTGTGATTTTTTATATATTTTCCCATAAATGTTTTTTGTGCTTTTCTACGTAATTTGTAATAAAATTCTTGATAAGCCTTTACTTATTTCAGACATGTCTCAAATATAAAAAGTGTTTGTTTTTTATCTATGCAAATTTGTTTTTATGCTGTTTAATTTAATTTGAATTAAAATTCATAGAAAAGGCTTACAAATATTTAGTAATAAATTAAAATGATATTTCCAAGAAGTTTGAGTGGAGAGGTCTTAGCGCACGTGTGAATAATTTTCTCTGCATGAATTCCTTATGATGTTTAGGCCTTTTAGGAAAATAAAAAACAAATAAATAAGCAAATAAATAAACAAATAAATTCTTGTTTATTAATTCTATGAAAATGTAGTAAAAAATTTAGATTTTTTTTTTCAAAAACCGGGATAACAATTTTGTTTACCTATGTATATCATTTAATGCAATTTGAATTAGAATTGTTAGAAGAAGAGTTCGAGAATTTTAAGTAAAATACTTTAATATAATTCTAAAAAGTTGAAGACGAAAAGTTGTAGCACTTTTTCTCTATATTTCAAGAAAATAGCAAAACATACATAATTCTTAAAGAAGGAAGCCTAAGTATACTTAGTAAATAGTCTAGCTCTATTTTCAAAATAGTTTGAATTGTGCATGGATAGTACGTCGACAGTCACTAATATATGTATGTGTATTTCTGTTCTGTCGACCGTTCCATTTGTTATTTATGGGCACTGTTAAGTGACAGTTGCTATTGCTCAGCGAGTTGTCTGTTTTGCGAGGTGCTTGCATTAGCGCGAATCTCGTTAAATATTTAACAGGCAAAACGCGTTGACACCGTGCAGAAACTTTTGCTCTTCCTGCGCAATAATTTCTTGGCTAGTTGACAAGGAGCTAGGAGAGGAGGGCAAGGTGTCGAGAGTGGGTGGAAGTGGAAAGCCATTACAGCTGCAGTTGTCCCGCATTGCAAGTTAATGGCGTTTATTATGGGAGTTTGTTTATTGCATGCTTCACACTTTGGCTAACTATTTATAATACTTTCACGAACACTTCCAGGTGGGCACCGGCGGCATGGACTCGAAGGTGAAGGCAGCTACATGGGCCCTGGATCGCGGCGTCAGCGTTGTTATATGCAACGGCATGCAGGAGAAGGCCATCAAGACAATTGTGGGCGGCAGGAAAGTTGGCACATTCTTCACCGAAGCCACCGAGAGCACCAACACCATACCCGTCGAGGTGATGGCCGAGAATGGTGAGTGTTGCAACCAACAAAAGATTACTGAGAACAATGGAATGCGGGAATGTTTGCCAAGAGTTTGTAATAAGTGAATAAAGCAGGATACTTTCCCAGACTTTGGCTGCATTGTCTGTTGGGTAAACTTTGCTATTTTTAAAGAAAAATTAGAATACGTATAAATATGTAGCCAATGCTAAGTAGTTGAATAAAGATTTGGGCAAGGCCTTCGAGTGGGGGTTTCTTGGAAGTGCAACACTGTCGGTTTGTTGACACTCGACGAGCTTTTGCTTGGCCAACTCTCAACTAGTCGGGTTAGCTAAGTGCTAAGTGGCCTAGAGCGTGGGATGGGTGGGGGTGGGTGCCTGAGTGACGCAGTGGCCATTTAGTGAGAGAGGAGAAACGAGGTCACAATGACTGCCAGTTGAGGTTTACCTTCGTCGTCCTGCTGCGCTCTGCTTGGCTTCTCCAAGTAGCAGTCGTTGGCCCCGTCCGGCGCTGACTGGCATGTTGTGTAGCAATTTTTAGTTAGCAAGTTTAATTTAATTGTAGTTATTTGGGACAGCTGAAATGCGGCGCGGCGTTGGCAAACAGCTTGAGAAGTGCTTCTTAATTAGCCAGTTGCAACTTGTTGAATCGTATTTCGGGACAGCTGTAAATGGTTATTGTGCCAGCACTAGTTAATTGTATCACTCTTGATCTGTTTACTACAAAATAAAAAGAGATGGAGATAGAGATAGAGCAAAGTGAAGTGAAAACCTTTTAAAAGCTTTACAAACTGCTCGCTCTATTTACTCAAGTGGCTAGCAATTAGCTGCCAGCTTATCTATTCAAACTCTAATTCGAGCTCCAACTGCAACTTTTTCGACAGCTCGAACTGGCAGTCGTCAGATGCAGGCGCTGTCCCCGGCCGAGCGAGCGTTGGCCGTCAACAATTTGGCAGATCTGCTGGTGAGCCGCGAGAAGTTCATATTGGAGGCGAATGCCAAGGACCTGGAGGAGGCCCAGAGGAGCGGGCTGGCTAAGCCGCTGCTGTCGCGCCTATCACTCAACTCGGCCAAGCTGAAGAACCTGTCGATTGGCCTCAGGCAAATCGCCGATGACAGCCACAAGGTGAGTGCGGAGCAGAAGCTCAGTTAGTTAATTGGCCGAGAGCTCGACAGAACCGAGTGCAAGAAATCTGGGTAAAAAGTTTACACAAATTGCATTAGTTTTGGCTGTTGTTGAAAACTGTTGAAAAGTGTTGAAAAGTGCTCAAAATGCTGTTGACTGCTACAAAAATTGAGTTAGCCCGGGCCACTCTCTCGGGCCGGCTAAGTGGTCATTCTGTGACCCACAACAATGGCCGCCGCCGCTGTGGGTCTGTGCAGCTACAGTTTTCATGCTTTAACAATATTATGAAATCTCCAAGCAATTTTACACTTCAACAAAAATTGACACCCAAATGGAGCTGAGGGCGGGCGGGTGTGGCTGAGGACCTAAGCAAGTGGAAGATAAAAGACAGCTTAGCTGCTGCATCGAGTGTGTGTGCGAGTTAATGTCACAGCCAAGACAAACACACACACGCACACACACACACTCATGTGTGGCGGCTACAGTTGATGGGGCATTGAGAGAGTGAGCTCTGCTGCTATCCTTTCGCAGCCAGGCATTTTATTGGATGTGATTGTGCGGAAGCGCCGAACTTTTTCCCGCTTGCCGGCGAGAAAACTTTTTTTCCGGCCACATACACTCACTTACATGTATGGCAAAACCAAAAATCATAAAATAAGGCGAGAGAAAAACCGCATAACTGGCTGAGAATGGGGAAAGGGGGAAAGGTATTCGCAGGCGACAAACAAATGCCGCGCACTTTGCTTTTTTGTCTTCGCACTGCCTGAGGCAATCAGCAAAATGTTGTCGATGGGGTTTCTGTTCTCTTTTTGCTCTTTGTGATGGGCGAAATAATGTTTCGCTTAGCGGAACTTTGAATTGCACTTAAGCAAGTGCCGGAGCTGTTGCAACAAGTCACATAAACATTTAATGACTCGACGAAAATGATAATATAAATTTGGCGAATCGAATCAGGGCTCCACTTGAAACTCTTGGGAGCCAAGAAAGTTATTATACGCTTCATATGAAGGGCGCATACTAAGAGCATTTTGTGGAAATTGACTTCGTCTCCAGCTAGCCATGACTTATCCAATTGTCCTCTGCAAATATAATTTAAAGTTTCGCCCAGCCCGGCCAGAGTCAATAATAATGACCATATAACCAAATTTACGCAGCGCACAAGTTGAGTGCGACGTGAATGTAGGCGGAGGCAGGCAGCTGCTGCTGCTGCGGGGCGTGGCCCAGCAATGTTGCCAGCCAGGCTCGAGCCACTCTGTGTGGGGCAGAGCATTAAAAATAAATAAAGATTACGATGAGCTGAATGCTTTGATTTATGTAAAACTGAGCCGGGGCAACGCCTCAAAATGGACGCCTGGGATTAGAATCGGCGCAATATAAATAGTCGATTATTCTTCTTATATGGGCTCGCTCCCGTTGGGCCGCACCACATGGCGTATGTGTAATGTATTAGCTGCTGAGTTGTCAAATGGCGTTTTATTTGCACGCAGAATGTGGGTCGCGTGCTGCGCCGCACCCGCCTGGCCGACGGACTCGAGCTGAAGCAGGTGACCGTGCCCATTGGCGTGCTGCTCGTTATCTTCGAGTCGCGCCCGGACTCGCTGCCCCAAGTGGCCGCCCTGGCCATGGCGTCCGCCAACGGGCTGCTGCTCAAGGGCGGCAAGGAGGCGGCGCACAGCAACAAGGCGTTGATGGAGCTGGTCAAGGAGGCGCTCAACAGCGTGGGCGCCGAGCATGCAGTTTCCCTGGTGAGTCACGACAGTCAACTAGGTGTAGCGAGAGAGGGGTTTGGCTTATTTTGAGTTCTTGTTCACTTCAACAGGTTTCCACACGCGAGGAGATCAGCGATTTGCTGGCCATGGAGAATCACATTGACTTGATCATTCCACGCGGCAGCTCGGAGCTGGTGCGCAACATCCAGGAGCAATCGCTGCACATCCCAGTGCTGGGCCACGCCGAAGGCGTCTGCCACGTCTATGTGGACAAGGATGCCGACTTGGGCAAGGCCTTGCACATCGCTCGCGATGCCAAGTGCGATTATCCAGCAGGTAAAGCATTCGATTGATTGACTGAAGTCTGATCTATATATTTTAGATATAGATTCTGAGCAGTTTCATACTGACTCATGTACGACCGTCTCTGTGCTTATTAAGTTCCTATCTTGAATCGTTTATGCCCATATCTAACCTCTCTTTAAGTCTAAGGTAGATGTATATGTTTTCCTTCTTGACAGATAGGATGTCTTGTAGTCGGTCACTCCTCATCTAACGTATTCTTATAACTCGATTATGCGTCTCTTAGAGTAATGAACTCTACCTTGACACTAAGGTAGAGGCATTTATTTTCATTAGTTATAGACAGGATATCTTGTAGTCGGTCAGTTTTTGTTTTATGTTCTATATTTAGATATTTTCCATAAGATATATCTAAATACAATCATGCACCTAGGTTTTATTAGACTTATAAAATGATCATGCTGGCTTCTCATGCTTAAGCCTAAGGTAGAGGCATATATTTTTTATATTTTTAGACCGGATAAACTTATATATGATATATTTTCCATTATATACATAAAATTATGCCCCTCAGTTTAACTAGACGTATAAAATTAAGACCCCATCATGCTGGCTTCTCATGCTTAAGCCTAAGGTAGAGGCGTATATTTTCGCCCTTTACAGGATATCTTAAAGTTGAGCCGTCCTCGACTAGCGTGCTCTTTTTACCTACAAGTTTTCCTAGTTTCCATCAGCCACAAGAGTTTGGATCACAACATAATGCGTTGCTCGTTTCATTTTAATTATAAAATCTTCCACACCGTCACACTTTGTTTTGGGCAAAAATTAATTGCATTTTTGTTTCGCTTCACTTTAGCCTGCAATGCAATGGAAACGCTGCTCATACACGAGGATCTAATGAGTGGACAGATTTTCAACGATGTCTGCAACATGCTGAAACGTGAGGGCGTCAAAATCTATGCGGGACCGCGTCTGAATCAGCAACTGACGTTCGGCCCGCCCGCTGCGAAGAGTCTGCGCCACGAGTACGGTGCCCTGGAGTGCTGCATTGAGATTGTGCCCAGTCTGGAGGAAGCCATTAATCACATACATACGTACGGCAGCGGTCACACGGATGTCATTGTTACCGAAAATGGTATGAAAATTGAAAATTAATTTTCAATTGCTCGCAATCGAAGCTGAAAAATGATTTTAGCCGTAAGCCCGGTAGGGGCCAGGGGGCAACGGGTCCTAAATACCTATAGCTAATGACAATTCAATGTGCGGGCTATAAATTAGTTTTGCCCGAGCTTTGTGTTGCCCAGTATGCGATATATGGTGGGTTTATGCCATGGCCAGCAACAGCTCTGGCTAGATTTATAGATGTGTAGTGGGCAAGCATTCATGACAATAATGGATAGATATGGGTAGATAAAAGTATTTGCAATGGCAACGTGTAACAGTTGAAATGAAGGAAATGATTATTTGAATATGTGAAGGCTTATAGACGTAGAAATAATTGATGAAAAATATGAATAGCATTTTAGATATGTAGGTGACTGATCTATTTAGGCAACAATCCGAATATTTGTTTATTACGTTTTTTATATTTTTATATATTTTTTATATATATTTTATATATTTCGCTAAATGTTATAATATATTATTTTGATAGATACCTTGAAAAGAGGTGGTAGATCATATTTATTATATACATATATACATATGATATATATTATATATGTATATATTATAGATGGATTATATTGTATAGCTTGCGTAGATTGTGTATGTTGTCAAGAGAAGACAAAGCAGTTGATGAACTCAAAATGCCAAGTAAATATTTATATATTTTTATTGAAACTTTCTGAAGTACCACTTCTGAGGCTGAAAACAAAAATACAAAGAAAAAATATTGTAAAAACAAGTGCTCAAGATATACGAACCTAAAAGTGCAAACAAACAAGTTTATTGAGTACAATTGCCCACGGTGCTATCAGAAGGCGCTAAAAGTAATATGGATAGAAGCAGCGGGTAGATTAGATAAATTGGGTAGATTCCATGGGTTGGTAACACCAGCCTACAAAATAATTTATATTTTAGTTACCAAGAACTAAATATAGAACTAGATATTTCTAACGAGTAGCAAGTTTTTGAAATCTGTGAGTCCAGCTCAATTCCTTTGCCTAAAAATTGCTTATGCATGTCGTCAATTTAACATTCTAATATGCATACATATATTTTTATTATATATATATATATATATATATATATATATATATATATATATATATATA